CAAGTTGTTGTTTTTGAGACAATCTGGGTAGAGTGCTCTGGCGTTATAGCTCACAGCAACCTCAAACTCTTAGGCTCAAGAAATTCTCTTGCCTCAGCCTCCCAAGCAGCTGGGACTACAGGTGCCCACCATGACATCTGGCTAGTTTTTCTATTCTTTTCTTTCTTTCTTTTTTTTTGAGACACTATGTCACCCTTGATAGAGTACCGTTGCATCACAGCTCACAGCAATCTCAAACTCCTGGGCTCAAGCGATTCTCTTGCCTCAGACTCCCAAGTAGCTGGGACTACAGGTGCCCACCACAACTTTGTTGTTGTTGTTGTCATTGTTGTTTGGCAGGCCCAGGCTGGGTTTAAACCCGCCAGCCTCGGTGTATGTGGCAGGCGCCCTAAAGGCCTAGCCTAGTTTTTCTATTTTTAGTAGAATGGGATCTCGCTCTTGCTGGTCTTGAACTCCTGAGCTCAAGCCAGCCACCTGCCTCCACCTCCCAGAGTGCTAGGATTACAGGCGTGAGCCACCACACCCTGCCTGGCCTACTTTTTCTATTTTCAGTAGGGACTGGTCTCATTCTGTTGTCCTGGGTAGAGTGTGGTGTCATCATAGTTCACAGCAACCTCTAACACCTTGGCTCAAGTGATCTTACTGCCTAAGCCTCCTGAGTACCTGGGATTACAGGCATGGGCCACCATACCCTGCCTAATAAGATTAAACAAAAATAGTGAGGTAGTCTGGGAAGTTGAAAATGATACTGCTTGGGTTAAGATTCATACATACCCTTAATAGATGCTATTGTTGGAGGGGAGCCACAAAATGAATTTCGTAGTAGCTAAGGCAAAATAAACACCATCAGTCACTGCCTCTAAAAGATCAAATCAGATCTGCTCAACTGCAGGATTGGGGGTGTGAGAGACATCTCTCCAGTGGTCCCCATGCACCTCACATTCCCACATTGAACACATATTTATTGATGAGGGTCTGTACATGACGTGGACACATCAATGGCTTTCAGTATATTCACAGAGTTGTGCAAACATCACAATCAATTTCAGAACATTTCCATCACTCCCAAAAGAAAACCCATACTCATTACAAGTCATCCCTATTACCCCTCCCCCACAGTAACTACTAACCTGCTTACTGTCCCCATGGATATCCCTATTCTGAACATTTAATATAAATGAAATCTTACAATATATGGCCTTTTGTGCCCGGTCCCATTTACTTAGCACAATATTTTCAAGGTTCATCCACACAGTAGCATGCATCAGTGATTCATTCATACTACATTTTATAAAATATCATGATGAAATAATATTCTGTCTTATAGATAAACCACATTTTACTAATTCACCTGTTGATGGACACTTGGGCTGTTTCTGCCTTTTGACTATTGTGAATAATGCTGCTATGAACACAATTTTTTTGTAGCATATGTTTTCATTTTTCTTGGATATGGGGCATGAAGCTCAACGTTCATGCTACAACATGAATGAACTTCAAAGACATCATGCTAAGTGAAAGAAGGCAGGCCCAAATGTTTATATACTGCACAGTTCCATTTATGAAATGTCCAGACTAGGCAAATCCATAAAGATGGAAAGTAGATCTGGTGGTTGCCAGTGGTTGGGAAAGAGGGATGGGGAGTGACAGCTTAATGAGTCCAGGTTTCCTGGTGGGGTGATGAAAACGTCTTAGAACTAGGCAGAGGTGATGGCTGTACACATTGTGATTATTCTAAATGCCACTGCATTGTCTACTTTAAAACAGTTAATGGTTAATTTTATGTTTAATTTTACCACAATTATAAATATAGAAAGAAAAGAAAAGAAATGAGAAAATCATTTAACACAACACAAAGGTTTAAAAACCTTTTTATTTAAAAATTTCAAGCAGGCTGGGCCCAGTGGCTCACACCTGTAATCCTAGCACTCTGGGAGGCCGAAGCAGGAAGATTACTTGAGCTCAGGAGTGCAAGACCAGACTGAGCAAGAGCGAGCCCCTGTCTCTTAAAAAAATAGCTGGCTGTTGTGGCAGGTGCCTATAGTCCTGGCTACTTGGGAGGCTGAGGTAAAAGGATCACTTGAGCACAAGAGTTTGAAGTTACTGTGAGATATGACACCACAGCACTCTACTCAGGGTATCAGACTGAGACTCTGTCTCAAAAAAACAAATAAAGTAAATGTAACAACTGTTAATTATCATTAAATCTAGGTGGTGGATATATAGGGGTTAATCATTCTAATCTTTTTATTTCTTTATGTTCAAAATCCTGAGGTCAAGTGATCCTCTTGCTTTGACCTCCCAGCACAGAATATTTTTTAAGGTACAGAAATCATGATATTTCACTCATAAATATTTGAGTAATAATCTGTAAAATATGAGGACATTTTTGTCTCCTTGGGTTTTTTTCTGCCTAAGTTCTATGACTTCAAATCCACATGAAATGACTATAAAGGCTTTTTAATGAAAAAAAAAAGATGAGAACATTTTCCCATATAACTATTGTGCCATTATCACATCTAATATAATTAACGATAATTCCTAACTTGGATCTCATTCCCAGCCCATTTTTAGAGTTGGCAAAACTGAACCAGGTAACAAGTAAAATGTCTTCAGGTGCTGCATTTGGTTGTTTTGTCTCCTGAGACTTTTAATCTAGGTTTTTTTTTTTTTGAGACAGAGCCTCAAGCTTTCCCCCTGGGTAGAGTGCTGCGGCATCACAGCTCACAGCAACCTCCAACTCCTGGGCTCAAGCGAGTCTACTGCCTCAGCCTCCCAAGTAGCTGGGACCACAGGTGCCCGCCACAACGCCCGGCTATTTTTTGGTTGCAGCCTTGTTGTTTGGTGGGCCCAGACTGGATTTGAACCTGCCACCTTAGGTGTATGTGGCTGGCGCCTTAGCCGCTTGAGCCACAGGTGCCGAGCCAGAGACTTTTAATCTAGAATAATCTCTGTGTTCCCACTCTCCCATCCCCACCATTGAATTACTGAAGAAAAACAGATAAATGCTCGTAGAATGTTATTTACTTTGCATTGTTTTATGTAATTCCTCTGACTCAAAGTGTCCCCACTAAGACCACATCCCATATCCCTTGGCCCATCGTTCTGTCTACAGTGATAGAGCTACAGATACCCCATACAGAGCTGACAAATGAATGGGTACCCATTATACAGATGAGAAAGGTAAGACTGAGAGAGGTTGTACAACTACTGTTCGTGGTGGAGCTGGGACTAAACCCAGAGCTGCCTGATTTTAAATTCAATCTCGTTGTGCCATACCAACCATCTCAGTTGCAAGAACCATGTAGCACTGTAATTGTTGGTCTGACCATTCCTGTCTCTCTGTTCGACTGCACAAATCAAGGCAGGGGCTATGATTCCTCATCAACATTTCCCCAGGGTCTGGCATATCCCAGACAATCAGTGAATGGTGAATGAATAAATGAATGATTGGCTTGGTCCCCCCACAGACTCCCTCTACCATGCCACACATCTTTTCTCTTGCCCAGCCAGGAGAGTCATGGTATAGCCTCCAAGATGGCCCCTAACTGTACCTTCAGGTACTTACACCATTGAGTCATCCCCTCCTGCATTGAATATGGCTGACTTGTGTAACCGAAGGATATTACAGAGGTCACTCTGTGGTTAAGCCATTAAAGACACTGCAGCTTCCTTCTTGCTCTCTTGGATCATTTGCTTTGGGGTAGGTGAGCTGCCATGTCATAAGCTCACTCAAGCAGTCCTGAGGAGTCTGTGTGATGAGGAACAGGGGAGTACTGCCTATGGCCATGTGAGGGTGCCATCTTTTATAATTTTTTTTTTTTTTAAGACAGAGGAGTCTTAAGCTTTCACCCCAGGTAGAGTGCCGTGGAGTCATAGCTCACAGCAACATCCAACTCACGCTCAAGTGATCCCCTTGCCTCAGTTTTTCTTTTTCTTTTTTTTTTTTAGTAGAGACAGGGTCTCGCTTTTGCTCAAGCTAATTCTTGAACTTGTGAGCTCAAGCAATTCACCCATTTCGGCTGGCCTCCCAGTGTGCTAGGATTACAGGCATGAGCCACTGCACCCAGCCCTTTTTAAAATTATTTATTTATTTATTTTTATATTTTAGATACAGAGTCTTGCTCTGTTCCCTCAGCTGGTGTGTGGCAGCACAATCATAGCTTACTATAATGTCAAACTCCTAGGCTCGAAGAATCCTCCTTCCTTGGCCTCTAAAGTACTGGAATTATAAGCATGAGCCACCACACCTGGCCAAGGGCTCTACCCTTGAAACAGCTCACCTAACCCCAGTCAAGCCTTCAGATGATACCAGCCCTGAATGACATCTTGATGGCAACCTTGGCGGAGACTCTGAGCCACTGAGCTAGGCTGCTGGGTGGCTCCCAAATTCTTAGAATTAGAAATTGAGAACATTTGTTGTTTGAAGCTGCTGACTTCTGGAATAATTTGTTACATAGCAAGTGATAATGAACACAGGGGTACTCACCTTGGTGCTCATGTCATTCCTGAGCTGCTCTGTAGTCTTCTTCCAGTCACCTGTCTGGTTGGTGATCTTGAGGAGCATGCTCTGAACCATCTGGTTCAGCTCTGTTGCCACAGTCTCCAGATCAACCCGGTTTGCTTTGCATGCCAGGGCACTTCTATCAGCTTTCTGGGGAGACAGGGGACTCAGGGAGGAGGAGCTGCTGGAATGGATCAGGGAGCACTGAAGATGTTATACTCCTGGGGGCAACTTTTTCTAGTTCAGGACCCTGGACTTTCAGACTTGTGCTAAATTCAACCTTAGTATCTGCATTGGCTCAAACACATTTTTTTCCAAACACAGTCTTGAGATCTAAGCCGTAGTTTTCTTTTCTTTCTTTCTTTCTTATTTTTTTTTTT